CATGAATATGAATGTATGCGCGTGTGTTTGTGTATGTGTGTGTTTGTAAGTGTGTGTGTGTGTGTGTGTGTGTGTGTGTGTGCATGATTGTTGGCGTGTGTCCATTGTTTCCCTTTAGAGGGATATAGTTTTTTCCCGTTGAAAACAGGGGGCGGGCGATATGGGTTTGGGCAGGCCATTTGGGTCTTTTTTTTTTTTTTTTTTTTTTCTAGTGTGCAAGGAAGATGAGCAATAACGAACTTCAGCAATCAAACAGCATCATATACACAAGACCAGATAGTCGGAACCTCGAACCAATAACAGAATTGCATCACGAGTTTCACCAAATAAGAAGACACCAAGAGCTCATAATTGACAATGCTAGTAGGTCTCATCATCATCATCAATGAAGAACCGATGTTGATATCCTATCTGGCGCTTGGCGCCCAGACTACAGATGGCTGATGCTATCAAGCCTAGACTACAATGTCGAAGATGACCTCAACAGCTTTCCCGAAGTACGCGCATACAACGACCAATGTCGCACGCTTCCAGCACCAGGTATGTCTCTCGCCTTACTCACAACCTCGTTCCCCAACACACAGATGCCACTTGCACCCAAGGACCACCTTGCGCCACACCCAGCTTACAGCAGCGTAGCTCGGCTATGGTTGCCTGCTCCTTCCTGCTCGCCCGTGAGCGTGTGAGTGCCAGCGAGCTACAACGCGGCAGCGCTTACTCAGCATGCAGCCAGCACCCAAATGCCCAATGTGGAGGCAGGCCCTTTGCTATATCCAAGTGGCCTGCATGTGTTCAGCCCTAGGAAGCTTCCAGTAGGCCCCGATAGTCTGAGGCCCAGCACGAACGAGAACAGGCCTTGGGCCTGAGGTGGTTGCATGCCCCCAACTGCCTTTGGCCTATGTTTGGCCCAGTACCCGTATCCATCCCAGGGCCTGCTTTCCATACATTCACACAGGCGGCCCAGGGCCTGGGTTCCCTCAACCAACTGACGCCAGACTCATGCAACCTGCTAGAGGCCCAATTTTGTGTGTGTGTGTGTCTTTTTTACCTTTTTTTTATTTGCTTTTTATGGTTTTGATTTTTTTAAAAATACACAAAGTTCCAAAAAAAAAAAAAAAAAAAAGAATTGTTGTACATCTTTGAAAGATCTACAACCCTATATTTTTTATTGGTTTTTTTTGTTTTTTTTTTAGCCCTTAAAAAGTCTGTGTGAAACCCAAAACAAAAACACTCATTTCATTTTAGTTTTTGTTTTTTCATTGCGTGTTTACATTTTTGATTTAAAAAAATAAAATGTAAGCATCAAAAAATATGTTTTATTTTGTTTTTAGACGATTTTTAGCCCATGAAAAAAATCATCCCGAACCCCGTTAATTCGTGTCCAACTCGCGTTTAAACGGGAGTTTAACGTGAATTCAACGCGTGTTGAATTTTTCAACGCGGAACCCGTGTTGAATTCAAAATCAGACACACAGACCTTTCTCACATGGGAAAATAGGCAAAACGGGATGTTTTCTCAAACTTATGATTTTCGGAGGTCGGGCCCGACAACGACTGCCATTGATAAATCTGATCGGCGACCGTCATTTTGTTTCGGACCAAAAGTGAGGCATCCTTAAGGAAGGGATACGCACGTGTCCAGTCCGCATCCGGCCTGTTCTTTTGCATGATATGGTAGTAGTTCCATAATCGCCTCAAGATGCGATCGCACTTCAGCAGGTGCACTGCTTCCTGTACTCCCAGCTTCCCTTGCTTCGCTAATGAAGCGGAGCTTGTTTGCATCCACACGCTATGTATCCCCCCCGGCGGCGGACAGGTGCGGCCAAGTCCGCGGCCGCGGCCAGTCCGCAAAGCCCGCGGACGTGTCCGCACGGACGCGCGGATTGGCGGACACGTGGCGGCCGCAGGGGAGGGGGTTTCACCATTCTGGCGGCGCATCCCCTGCCCCACACCCCACACACAAAAAAAAACTGAAAAAGATGAATTTTTGGTGGAGGGGTATGGGCGAAATACAACGAAATTGGAAAAAAAAAAAAATGCGTTTTTTTTTTTGTTTTTTTTTTTCCGTTGATTGATTGATTGATTGATTGGTGAGGGCGGGGTCACCCCCCCCTCCCGTCCCATCCCCCACACGCGCACACACACAAGTAGTACTGTATATTTCCATGTATTTCCATGTTCTAGCTTTTGGTTGATTGATTGATTGTTGGGGGCGGGGTCGCCCTTTTTTCTCATTGATTGATTGATTGATTAA